ACAGTCTAGCCCGGGCCAGAATCGCCTGTTACAGCTTAATAATCGACTATAGTACCCCAACTTATTCATAGTCTTTTGCACTCACTTAAACGAACGTAGGTGCCAAACCAAACCAAATGAACAATTATAATACTCCAAGCTTATTCGTAAATTACCAAAACATTTGCACTTGATCAATCCCCGCTAATTATGTAATTATTTTTTTCCCAACACCAAAACAAAGTAATAAAAAGTAAATTATTTTCCACTAATGCAATGTTTTATAAAGGGAAGTAATTGTGTTTTCCTAATTTATCAAAGGGAAGTAAGTGCTAAAGGACTAAATATAAATAATTTTCAGACATAATTAGAATTTTTGTAAAAGATGATATTTTTACTTTCTCGTATATACGAAGTATAGAGAAAGTATTGTAAAAAAAAAATCGAGATTTTTACAGATCTCGACGTTTTACACCTCACTGATACGGAAAAACATAATTTTGCAATCTTGTCCGTATGTCTGTGTGTGTGTGTGTGTGTCTGTGTGTCTGTGTGTCCGTGTGTAAACACGATAACTTGAGTACCGTTACAGCTAGGTTGATGAAATTTCATATATAAGTATTTTATCAAAATCGTAGATCCTGATCAACTTTTGAGCGATTTCCGATAACCGGAAGTGGTACTTTTCCTACTTTGAATTTTTCAAAAGCCTATAACTTGAGTACTATTTCAGATAGATAAATGAAATTTCACATGTAAGTAAAAGATCTAATTTTCTACCTTCTGTAAAATTTTGAGTAATTTCCGTTGACTGGAAGTAGTAATTTACGCTACTTCCGATTTCTCAAAAAACGAATGTAAATTTTAAAAGTACTAATAATATTGCGCACTATTATGCGCTTTTTTATTTGGCGTTCACTTGGTGTGCAATTAATTTGTCTACGAGATTTTATTCTATTTTTAAAACTTTAAGTATTTAAAATGGATTAAAAATCATGTCTATAGCCCGAGTTCCCATCCCCTGTTATTTTATATAAGAATATTTGAGAAAGTTTTGGGGAGATCACTCCCGGTTTATTTTTAAATTGTGTTTAATGAACATGCCGACAATTATTACTATCAGTTTGAAAAATGAAAGTTATTTCCCAACACTTTCAATAGTAATTTTTTAACTCATAAATTTAGACTATGAGCACGATAAAAATCTAACACTTAAATCCATCGAAGTATGTCCACGACAAACAAACTTATTACATGTTACATACAGAATTGAGCTTTATATATTAGATTTTAAATCAAGATAAATATTGGTTATTTCCACAATATGGAATTTTAATAAAAGAGTTTTAGTTTCTAGAACTCTAGATTGACATATTTGAACTTTGAAGACTGCCACGCTATTGGTATCCATATCGTTTGTTTATTTTGAAGAACATTTTATTTCCCATTTTAACATCTCTAAAATAAAGTATTGCCTACAATAACTTTGTTCTTCACTTCATAACTAAACAATACAACAGACAGTAATTCAAAATGTACGAATATTTATCCACATACAAAATGTCACATTGAGGCTCAAAAATCAATAAAAATAAAAGTTCTTGTATTAGGGTTTAATATTCTTATTTTTCAGAATACCTTTCTGTCTGTTTCTAGATCTACATGCGTTGGTACAGTTGAGTGATTTTTTAATGCTGGATTCCATTTTTAGATCTCTACTACTTGGTGTAGAGACTTCCGGTGGTCTTGTAGTGACGTCTGGATGGACAGACGATAAATGCCGTTAGACTGAGTGGTTTAGGTTCCAGTGCCGGGAAGTTCTGAGAGGTCACGGTCCACTGGTCAGTTGATGATGGACGAGGATATATGAGCAAGCAAGATATCATTGACCAGCCTGACGGTTATATGTTGTACCCATCCACATATTTACTTGTCAATCGGTATATGCATTGCATTACGTCACTACCGTTTGCAACACGCCGTTAAAGATAGAATAATTTTAATGATATAATTAATTGACACTTTCTACTTGATACACAGTTAAAAGACTTAATTTCTAATTAGTCATTAGGTATTTAATAATGTGTTTAAGTAGCATTTCCAATTCTAGATAATAGTTAAGTGCATCTTTCATCTAATATTCAGCTGTGGCCCATTATATCTGCTTCAATGTCTACTCTTATAATATGCCATGGAAAACTGTTGAAATCGGGTTTTACCTCTTGAATTGTTTTTGTCATTTAAAACGTTACAGATAAATCTGAAGGGTCTGGACAGTTGAGACAATCAAGAGAACCGGATTTCGGAAAGAACATTATCTCGATGTTTACAACACAATTAGCGTGTTTAAAGGGAAGTGAATTAGGCCCGTCAGCTAGCTAGGACTACACAAAAAAATGTTTTTATGTAACAAGATCTACTAGGCTTAAGACAACTTGAAATACTTTATTTTTTGTAATAGCAATTGCATTGTAAAAAATAAAAACTTTTTTTTTTCTGAGTGTGGTTAAACTTCGAGACGGATGCTGTTGACTTAAATTTTATAGCAATAAATGCAATTATTTCTTTCCCCCACAGTGAAATGTTCTCCAGTGTCAAGTTTTATCACACCCCCCCCAGTGTTTCTTCCAGACTTTTTTCTCCGGGGGGGGCACTTGAAATCTTCGGGGGGGCGGTAAACTTTCTTCGGGGGGGGGGGGGGGCGGACACTGTTAAAAGTATATATTTTCTATATAAATTATATAAATTTCATTTCGTTCGGGGGGGCGGTAAAATTTTTTCGGGGGGGTCAAAGCCCCCCCGAAGAGATGCCTGGAAGAAACTCTGCCCACCCTTCCCACACACACACACAACAATTCATATCTTAATGATATACATCATTTTTGTTGTTTATTTGTTTCATGAGTTTTGGAGTATTGATCAAGTTAATGTAAAATGTCTTCACATTACTGTAAAAAGTTTTAGATCAATAAAGTATTGAACAAATTCATTACTTCAACCAATCAGCTTCAAGTTATGGTTGACTGAAAGGCTCAGCTTGTGTTAGCTGTAGTTAATGACTAGACTGCTGGCTATTGCTCACGTTCATTGTGTGCGTGCAGTTGCCGGCAGTGTGAAAGTTGAGACTGCTCACGCTGGCTGCAGCACTCTGCCTGATGTAACAATAGCCGTGCGTCACTCACACAAGTGTCGGCCATGTCAAGGTGACCCACGTGCAGGCATGTCGGGGTCAATTAGTGCAGCTGGTAGGGAGGGGAGGGGGGGTGGAATAGGCCACACCTTGTCGACGTGTAAATTTAGCACCAGGAAAGGAATCCGCTTATGCAATGGTATACGGTCTGTGTGTGTTATAAGCAGTACTATATGGTCTGGGAGAGTCGCCATAAAAAGTAGTATAGGATCAGGATGGATCATCATAATAAATGTATATTAAATGGTCTCAAGTGACTGACATAAGCAAAAGTATATGTCTTTCAGGGTATAAAAGATCTTCGTTCAAGCGTAACTCCACTAAGAGTTACTGTAGGAAACTCACGGGAAATACTTATATCAATAAAGTAAGGGCAATGGCTTAATGTTATTGTTTTAATTTACTTACAGATTCATTGTTTGCGAACTATAAATTTAACTACGGTTGATCAAAATTAAGCGTCAAATTTCAGTCTAAAGATATTGTAATACTAAAGTAGTATTGTTACACCGCAGATGTAATGTTATATTAACTTCCCCTCAATACCTCATTGGTTTAAGTAAGTAACATGTAGATAACTTGTTAATACCTACATCTTCGCTGATCCATCAATATAAGACCATGTGGAACAAGACTATCAGTTCTAATTAGTCTAGTGATTACACACAATATAAGAGATGATAAATAGACTGAGTTTGATACTTTTTAACTACATATTAAGTTTACATTTGTGTTTATTTATAATGTTTATTGTATTTATTTAAGTATGTACCTTTACAATCGTAGTATCTTAGAGGTTAACGTGTACAATGCCAACTTAAATCTCCGATTTATATTCTAGACTTTGGTCTATAGAAATTGTACCTCATCTACTTGATATAACATTGGACTTTGAAACTTTTGTTCATTTCATTTTCTACTTTAATTTTTACTTTGAACTTTATTTCACTGTACTACAATACCTTCTGGAGTGTAATGGAAATAAGCAGAAAAGTCAGTGCGAAGTTTACTTGCCACGTGGGATACTCTAGTGTGTCTGCGTCACTTCTGTCACGCTCGTAGATACAAGGAGGTTAACTAGTTTAATTGGTTAACTAACTAGAGTTTAATTGGTTTGCTAACTAAAATTAAAGTGGTTTGCTAAAGGCTGGGCGTACAAATGTTAAGATTATTAACAAGCAATTTACTGGGCAAAGGATATGAATTGCTTGAATTGGATAGTTTACAGTTGAAGTGAAAACTAAAAGCCTAATCTTATTTTTGATCAATAATTATTTCCATGTCTCCAATGACGCCCTTGGCGGGGGTCACATGACCAGCAATTAGCCGTGACATTCTCGCACATCCAGGGCAGCGCATGCGCAGAGAGGCGGTATAAAAACTTTTCCGACCGCTTTTGTAACCAGAACCGCTCACTCGACAGCTGCTTCGCTCATTGACTCACCAACTCCAGCAGACGACAGATGTGCGTCAACTCTGCTCTAGAAATATCTTCATTTACGCCGCTTCCAAACATTCCAAATTTTATTTACATTTAAAAAACTTCTTGGCGCCATTTTTGAAAAAAAAAACTAATTATCTTTTCAACTCTTCAAGATTTTTTAAAAAGTGGATTATTGCTACTTCACGTTTTGCTGAATTAAGATAAGACACATGTGCTGTGTAGGTTAGGTGTGTTGGACGAGAAACGTGTAGGTGCATTAGAGATTGTGTTCACGTTACGGACTAGATAAGGACACTCGAGTGTGCTGCGGTAACGGACTAAAGGACACACGACTGTGTCGCAGTAACGGACTAGCGAAGGACACACGACTGTGTCGCAGTAACGGACTAGCGAAGGACACACGACTGTGTCGCAGTAACGGACTAGCGAAGGACACACGATCGCAGGATGAGGCGACCGACCTCCGAGGAGCTGGACTGTCTAGTGTACAACACGACTGCCGGTCGTCTGCTGTGTCTGAACGATGTCAAGGCCAGGCTCTACCTGCCCGTCACTGTCTTCCTGGGGGTGCTCATCATCATCGGCACCATCGGCAACGCCACGGTACGTAGTGTCACGTTGTTGGCATTCTAGTGTCACGGTGTTTGTATTGTAGTATCACGTCGTTAGTTTTCTAATGTCACGTTGTTAGTATTCTAGTGTCACGGTGTTAGTATTGTAGGGTCACGTTTTTTAGTATTCTAGTGTCATGATGTTTTATTGTAGCGTCAATGTGTTAGTGTTCTGATGTCACGTTTTTAATATTCTAGAGTCAAGTTTGTAATATTCTAGAATCACGTTGTTAGTAATGCAGTGTCACGTTGTTAAAATTCTAATGTCAATATTTTATCCGTGTTGTATCACGTTATTAGCATTGCTATGTTACGTTGTTAGCTTTATAGTCACGTTGTTAGCTTTATAGAGTCACGTTGTTAGCTTTATAGAGTCACGTTGTTAGCTTTATAGAGTCACGTTGTTAGCTTTATAGAGTCACGTTGTTAGCTTTATAGAGTCACGTTGTTAGCCAGGCACTACCACGTTGTAAGCTTTGTTGTAAAGTACTATGTGGAGTTGATATTGATACAGATATCTATGATTTATATGGAAATCAGTTCTCGATTTTTTTTTAAATTTAGCGTAGCTTAAAACTAATTATTAAATGATCTAAGATGGAATTAGTAATTAATAAACATTTATTTGTGACAGCCACAAATCTTTATATGGGTTTCATTTAATCGAAAGAGAATTATTTTATTAACAAGGCAGCAGTTAACTGCCTTAAATTGTGATTATTTATTATCTATACCGTTCTTTGCTGTGCATGCCTAGTCTGTACGCTAGACTAATTTAGTTTACAAAAATTACTTCTGTATATGCCCTAGTTATGTAACAGCCGAATCAAACTATGAATGTATTACTGAGGCAGATCCCATATACGAGCCTAGTATACGAGCAGTAACGCATGCTTGATTCTACTCACAACACCCCGTCTAAAAATAGTTTATTGTTATGTCACGTGATCTGTCACCACGGCCGTGTTACAAATATTAAACAACAAAATCACGTGACCGCATACGTCATCCATCCATGTTGCCCTCCCCAGGTGTGCCTGGTGTACTGCAAGCGGAAGTCACGTGTCTCCTCCCACTACTTCATCCTCTACCTGGCCGCCCTTGACCTTGTGACCTGCGTCATCGGGATGCCGACGGAGATTGCCGACCTGGTGCTGCCCTACACGTTCGACTCGCCCTGGGCCTGCAAGATCCTGAGGTTCACTCACTCCAGTACCATCATCGCCAGCAGTACCATCCTCATAGAGGTCAGAGGTCACGCTTTGTTTTTAGTAGTACCATCCTCATAAATGTGGTCACACTTTATTTTAGTAGTACCATCCTCATAGGGGTCAGAGTTCACACTTTATTGAAGCTTTTTCTGTGTGTTTAAATTAGCCCCAACAATAAAGTTTAGTAGGCTTCAAGTACTTATTAGCAAGAGAAATTAAAACAATATGGAAGCTCTCCTTTCTATAAAATGTATCATTATATTGTATCTTTTTAAATGTATTATTATATAGTATCTTTTTAATAGTTTTAAACCAATTGTCTTGTCAAATATTTGATTAAAATATAACTATACAATACAAATATTTAGTTAATTAAAATTTAAATTCAAACTACTTGTTTAATCTTACAATATTAATAGTTGGAAAGTAAAGCATGCACCGCTTCATGTTTCTCAATACATAAACAATAAATTTTCTATATTATTATACATATAATTTATCCGTGTTTTTGTATGTACAGGTGGCCTTTGACCGTTACTACCGGATATGCCAGCTGGGCCGTCAGTTCACACCAAACAAGTCCCAGCTCCTGTGTATGGGAGCCGTAATTCTGGGCCTCGTCTGCTCCGGGCCTACGTTTATTCTCTTCGGCAAGTAAGTCAACCAAGTTACTTCCCTTATTTCGTCATTATGTAAGCATAGATCATTCTAGATTAAAACATCGTATAATTTTATTTTGTAGTTATTTTAACGTGAGGTGTGGACTATATTATCATCTGTCTTTTACTATATTTATTATTACTATTACCTTTATGATTTAGTATATATTAGTATTCGAGTTACTTGTAGAACTTAAATACAATTTTACGTAAATATGATTGTTAAAGAGCAAGATTAAATAGTTGTGTGTTGTATAAATCCAGAATAAATGTAACTTAAAATAACGGTCAATTATTAGCCCTGAATAATTAACTAATGAATTATAATCTCCCATCATTAGGAAAACCGTCATCAGGAACTTAAACGGGAACATCCTGAAGGGGAACGACTGTTCCACCGACGACTCGATGCGTCGGACCATCTACCCGACCATCTACTACGTGTTCCTGTTCTCCCTGTTCGGTATCACCGTCATGTTCTTCGCTGTGCTCTACTCCAAGATCGGGCTGACTATCCTGGGCAGGAAGCGCCTGCATATGGGGTCAGTGACCTCCACCACGTCCTCCAGTAAAGCCCTGCTCAGGACCGGCTCTAAGAAAGATGCGGTAAGTTGTCGACGTCTGCTGCGCCAGATTGCTAGTTCACGGTTTTCATTCAGTTGTAAATTTAATAATGACCTACTGACCTACTCACGTAATTGACTGATTAGATTACAGATTCCTGACTTAGTATTACATCATAGCCGCGGGAAAATGTGCGTTATCAATGGATGTGTTTAAATTTAGACATGATTATGATTTTAACTTGTAGGACACATTACACTAAAAACTGAAATACCATTCACAATTATGTATTGACTGAGGTTGATGCAACCTGACATTGCTAATGCTCATCCTACTATATGCATACCTTTATCTATTAAAGTGTAATATATTAACACAAAACACGCTTTTCAGTACAATTTCGACGTTCTTTTAACTTATTTAAGAGTGTTTACGACAACGATGATTTTAATGTTTTGTTTGGACAAAGACATATAGTCAAAGCTCAGTTTATTGTGTTTTATACTTTTAGCTGCTATATGTATATGTTAAGTGAATAGTAATTTCGTGATATAACAAATGAATGTCTCTATTGGGATCACCTTAACATGGTCTTGTTATTTCTTCCAGCCCTCAGAACAGCCGAGTTCTGACCTCTCTTCTGAGCAGGACGACGCCAACGGTGCTTCAACAGCCAGCGGCAACAGCAACCACAGTAACCACAGCAACAACAGCAGCGCCAGCGCCTGCAGTGTGGCCAGCACGTCCACATCATCAACCATCATCTCCACGCCTGTGTTCAGCAGCATCAGACGCCACGGCAAACGTCTGCGTCCTCTGGAAGACGGGGCACAGTGGGTGCACCCGGGCATCACTTACAAGCGCAACAGCGCCGGACTCAACATCATCACCAGCCTGCCCCTACCCCCCGCCATCATGCCAGACGTCGTCATAGAAACCCCCAACCCCAGCGTGACTCTTGACGTCATCAACAACAACGAAGAAAACGCTCACAATTGTAATAAAACGGAACCCGGACTTCCGACCAATCAAATCACACCTGTCATCGAAGGCTCCGCCTTGACACGAACACCAAGCCGGAAAAACGGCCGGACCCGGTTTTTCTACCGCAACTTTCACCACCAGACCCACCAACACCCCGTGGACACGACGGACGACGAGGACAGCGTGGCCCACGGGCAAGGCGACCACAAGCACCAGCAGAGTCTCAAAGACCGCATCAACCAGCGCAACACCCAGCGACAGCTACGCGTGGGGAAGACCACCACGGTCCTCTTCGCCGTGACCTTGGCCTACATCCTCAGCTTCCTGCCGTACCTGACGGTCATGGTGCTCCGGAGCGTCATCCGTGACCTTGAGGAGAACCTCAGCCCAGTGGGGGAGCTGGCCTACAAACTCTGCGTCAAGTCGTTCTTCATCAACAACGCCATCAACCCCCTCATCTACAGCTTTCTCAACCAGACGTTCAGGCAAGACGCCAAGCTCATGCTCAGCAAGTGTTGCGGCAGGAGAAACAACTTCACATCCAGGCCACGGGTTCGGGCCCAGCACACACCAGAGGCAGTGTAAGCGTTGACAACATCCTCCACAAACACTAAAATATTCCGGACGAAACAATCAGTCAAATACTGCCTAAAAGCAGATGTCTCATACGCTTGATTTGCCACGAAGCAAAGAACAAAGATACCTCACTCGCTTAATAAACAAATAACAATGACAATAAACACGGGTACATTGGATATTTTGTTACTTGACATATATATAGTGCCAGATTACCGTAAAGTATGATGATAAACTGACATTACCTGGTCTAATTATGCTAATCACTATGGTATCAATATACCAATGACATGCATAAGGTTCCAGTGAAACGAATAACACGCCAGGTATACAAATGACATGCATTTGATTCCAAATAAGGAATATGGTGTCATATAAACCACATGCAAATGGTGCTAAATAAACTACTGATGTACCAGATATACACAACACAAGTTCAAAGATCTGATTTGTTGCAGAGACTATTATTTGAGCCGAGTAACACATGCGTTTATCGTGTATCGCTGTGATTAATGTGTGAGTTGGGTAGGTAGTATGATAGTTTGGTCGCTACATGTTTCCTGCTTCTGATATTATATTTAGTTCTGGTATTTAGTGTAACCTTTTCGTCACTAGCGCAACTGGTTTTGCTGCTAGGGGCGTGTGAGTAGATTAACTAGTCTGCTGTTTGTTCTAGTGGTGTATGCTGCAGTGTTATTATAACGAAATGGTGTGTATGCTGTGGTGTTATTACAAGGAAGTGTTGTGTGTGCTTTAATGTAATGTATGCTCTAAGAATGAGCAGCTTTTAACTACCATGTATTTGATTGTACAAAGCTGTAAGAAAGTGAGAGTTGTATTTTGATGAAATCTTATATGAATGATAATGTCAATACGCTAATGTTATTGTATTTAATAAATGTTTATACTCTCAGTTAAAAGCTTGCGTTGTTTTCTTTCCTAACTGACCTATGAGGGAGAAGTAAAAAATATAATAATCGTCTACGACAAATTGAGATAATTATTTTTTTATAGAGTTTAAACATAAGTAAACATGAAGTAAGTTGACTTTTTGAACCTGGTGCAACTTCTGGCAGATGAAGTATTCACCTGTTTCAACGACGACGGTATATGAAGGGATAGTGTGGTTCGCACTTTGCCCAGCCGTCTTAATATTCTATAACTTAATGCAGGTACCCATCAGAACTGGGTGGACTTAATGGCGTTCTGCTGACTCAAAAGGTTCAAACTTAAGACGACCACGCCGTCCCTCGAGTAAACAGGCACTAATAAGTCGATGGAAAACTTTTTATACTAGAGAGCAAACACTTTTTTTCTATACAGCTTTTTAAAGACTTATCCGCATATATGTTTCTATAAAAACATGTGTGGGAAAATCTTGGTAACTATAACAACGGCGGCCATCTTGAAAAAAAACCCCTCTTCGTAGGATTTCCACCATTCATAAGAATTATATTTTGAGCCCAATAAACAATTAATTCATAATCTTCTACCATATTTAGCGTTAGTCAGCTAAAAATTTAAGTGCAGATCTACAAAGTAATTTATTATCAATTTTCAAATTGTAAGTCCGTTAAAAACACTAAATTTAATGTCCCAAAATTTCCCAAACGAGCTGTATAGTAAATAAATAAAATGAAAACTTCTAAAAATAAAATAAAAGTTTATTTAGTATAAAAAGCATATATATTATATATAATTATAATAAGTACGAAACTATAAAAACGTCGCGTCCTTTGGTCCTTCAACGTGAATGGTGTAAAGTCGACAAAATCATGCTGGTCTAAAACTGGAACATTGTAGAAGAATTTGGCTTTAGTAAACAAAACAAAGAAAACGTCAACTAGAGTGGCGCAAAGATTGCTGGCGAACAGATTTGGCGCCAAGATGATGTAACACACGGAGTTGTGAGACGGGGGGACCCAGTACCAAGCAGGGAGACTAGTCTAGGACCGCCCCACCCCCCTGCCTCACCCCAGCAGCACCAACGTTCTCCCACACAGCTTACATACAGTGGCAGTTATCTTTGTCGTGGCTAATCGTGGGGCGTGGCTTGCTAGTGCCAGCGTCAGACGCGGGGTTGCTCTTAACTGACGTGTCTTCTGACGCCGCATTGTTGGGGGCGGGCGTCTGGGTGCTGGAGTCCTTGGGGGCGGGCGTCTGGGTGCTGGAGTCCTTGGGGGTGGGCGTCTGGGTGCTGGAGTCCTGGGGGGTGGGCGTCTGGGTGCTTGAGTCCTGGGGGGTGCTGGCCTTGACCTGGGTGCAGGACGGTCGTGCCGAGAGTCTGGGGCGTTTGACGTCATCATAGCTGTTGACGTCACACTTGGCCTGCAAAGTTAAAATGTATAACAACTGCTAAACAAATTATGTTTTATTAAATCTATAATAATGACCTAATCCACCCCCCATCCCCTTATCTGCTACTGACCATCCCCTTACCTGTAGATGACCATCCCCTGACCTGCAACTACCATCCCCCATCGCCTTACCTGCAACTGACCATCCCCTTACCTGCAACTGACCATCCCCTTACCTGCAACTGACCATCCCCTTACCTGCAACTGACCATCCCCCATCCCCTTACCTGCAACTGACCATCCCCTTACCTGCAACTGACCATCCCCTTACCTGCAACTGACCATCCCCCATCCCCTGACCTGCAACTGACCATCCCCTTACCTGCAACTGACCATCCCCTTACCTGCAACTGACCATCCCCTTACCTGCAACTGACCATCCCCTTACCTGCAACTGACCATCCCCCATCCCCTTACCTGCAACTGACCATCCCCTTACCTGCAACTGACCATCCCCTTACCTGCAACTGACCATCCCCCATCCCCTGACCTGCAACTGACCATCCCCTTACCTGCAACTGACCATCCCCTTACCTGCAACTGACCATCCCCTGACCTGCAACTGACCATCCCCCATCCCCTGACCTGCAACTGACCATCCCCTTACCTGCAACTGACCATCCCCTTACCTGCAACTGACCATCCCCCATCCTCTGACCTGTAACTACCATCCCCCATCCCCTGACCTGCAACTGACCATCCCCTTACCTGCAACTGACCATCCCCCATCCTCTGACCTGTAACTACCATCTCCCATCCCCTGACCTGCAACTGACCATCCCCTTACCTGCAACTGACCATCCCCATCCTCTAGCCTGAGCTTGACCATCTGATCCACCACCAGCCACATCTTGTCGGCCATGGAGATGTGCTTGCCCTGCTTGAGTTTCTCGTCAGCCGCCACCACCAGACTGCTACAGCTGGCCACCTCTCCCCTGCCCACAGACCTGGCGTCACAGCTCCAGATAGTCAGCTGCTCCTGGCTGGCCAGCTTGGTGCTTTTCGTGATGCAGAACGTCACCTGTGGGCAGTAGAGGGCAGTAGAGGGCATTAGAGGGCATTAGAGGGCAATAGAGGGCAGTACCGGGCATTAGTGGGCAGTAGTGGGCAGTAGAGGGCAGTAGAGGGAAGTAGAGAGCATTCGATGGCAGTAGAGGGAAATAGAGGGCATTAGATGGCAGTAGAGGGTAGTAGAGGGCAGTACAGGGCAGTAAAGGTCAGTACATGGCAGTACATGGCAGTACAGGGCAGTAAAGGGCAGTACATGGCAGTATAGGGCAGTAAAGGGCAGTAGAGAGCAGTAGAGGGCAGTACAGGGCAGTACAGGGCAGTACAGGACATTACAGGGCAGTAAAGGGCAGTACATGGCAGTACATGGCAGTATAGGGCAGTATAGGGCAGTAGATAGCAGTAGAGGGCAGTAGAGAGCAGTAGAAGGAAGTACAGGGCAGTAAAGGGCAGTACAGGGCAGTACAGGGCAATAGAGAGCAGTAGAGGGCAGGAGAGAGCAGTAGAGGGTAGTAGAGGGCAGTACAGGGCAGTACAGGGCAGTACATTGCAGTAGAGGGCAGCAGTTACACACTGGCATTCACTGGCAAAGTGACACAGATTAGCGTTTTTCAAAACAATGATGACCGCAAAGGTCAGTCGAAATTTTGTTAGGCTGCCAATAGGTCAAAAATAGGTCAAACCGAAAGGATAAAATGTAGAATAAATAAAATAACCATTGTTCAAGAAGCTCCAAGATGTAGTAACCAATCGAATCGCTCAACCAATTAGAAACAAGCTGACCGGTCACGTGTGAAGGTCAGCGGGTCAATGAAGATTTAGCATGCAGTTGGACATAAACAATGCTAAGAGCCAATCGAGTTAAGCCTCAATTTTGTTAGTCTATTTCAGGGGTCAACTACGGCCCGCAGGCCGGATGCGGCCCGCGAGGTCCTCTCATCCGGCCCGCAATGATATTTTTGATCACGGAAAAAATGTTTGTTGGAGGTGGCTGGGGAACTTTGCCCAGAAAATTCTTATCAATTTGAAAATGTATGTTTGGTGCAAATACCATTGTCTGTGGTGGTGCAGACATTGGTGAAAACATCGTGACTCAAATAGCGAAAAATGCAAACAAGTTTCGCCATTTTTCAATTGCAATGGATGAGTCGCTGGACAGCTGTTCCATCTCTCAACTACTTGTGTGCATTACAGGTGTGGATGAAGACATGAACATAACACAAGAGCTGGCTTCCATACATATTATGTATGGCACTGTTACCAAAGAGGATATATTCAATGAGTTGAAAAATACATTAGCTGATTATAGCTTGGACTGGACTAACCTCAATTGCCTGACTTTGATAGAGAAAAGTAAAAGCGTGGCATAAAGAAAGGCTATGTTGGACAAGCGAATTAGAAAAACATTCTAGAACCAACGTTCCTGCACTGTATTATTTACCAGCAAGCTTTGTGTGCTAAATATATGGACATTAGCTGTGTACTGAATCCTGTGCTGAAAATGTGAATTTATAAGGCCACATGGGCTCAATTATAGATAGTTCAGAGACATGTCGAAAGAAACAAACACAGAATCGCAAGAGATGCCTGAAAGAAACTGGCCCCGAACTGATATTTGATAGTTTATGCGGCCCTTGGGCTGATAAGTTTGGAGACCCCTGGTCTATCCAATACTTTCCAGGTCTACCTGAACCAATCAAATCGCAGCGTCTGCTGCTCGCCTTACCGTTTCGTTTTGCTGGTTGGTCTGTTGCAGGCTCCATAGACACAGGTCAGCTGGGTGGTTAGTCTGGTTGACCAGTGTGACGTACATGCCCCAGGGGTCAATGTCCAGGATGTTTATGCCCAAGCTGAACTCATTGATCCTGCAAGCGTTCAAATATCGATTAAATGCTCAATCGATGTCAGGTAGACGTCAGATACAACTATCGATTAATGGTGTAATATGTGATGAACTGTCATGTATTGTGTCAGGTGAAATTTCCAGGTGTGAGGAAGGTAAAATGTCTAAAGTCAAGATTAAACTCATAAAAAATAAAAAGTAATATTCAGCATAATGTCATATGAAATGTTATATGAAATGTCATTTGAAATGTCATTTGCAATGTCATTTGCAATGTAATTTGAAACGTCATTTGAAATGTCATTTAAAATGGCATTTGAAATGTATGGTCGAATGTCAGTGAAAATTTCATTTAACCAGAAATGTAAAATGTAATTTAAAAAAAATTTCCAAATGTCAAATGAAATGTAAAATTGTATTAAACCATAAATGTCAAATGCAATTTAAAATGTTGTGACGAACGTCAGGTGTAATATAAAATGTTGTGCCAAATGTCAGGTGTAATATAAAATGTTGTGTCAAATGTCATATGTTACGCCAGGTGAAACAGCAAGCACCGTGTCAGGTAAAAGTGCTGTAGTTCCACACCTGAAGATGTGCTGCCGTCCAGTGTTGGTGCCAGACATGTTGTCGATGGCCCATGGTGGTGGTGGCGTGTCATCGACCTCACTCCACTTCCTCTTCCCCGTTGGAGATCTCAAACCGCCGACTTTGTTGATCCTGTACGACAGGTAGGTGGGGCTCTGGAATAACAGGCAGTTAGTTATGTTAGACAAATGCTAATTAACTCTAAACATACACAGTTAGTTATCTAAGACAAACGCTAATTAAATCTAAATATGGGCAGTTAATTTTATAAGACTAACACTAATTAAATCTAAACATACACAGTTAATTATATAAGACAAACGCTAATTAAATCTAAACATACACAGTTAATTGTATAAGACTAACACTAATTAAATATAAACATATACAGTTAATTATATAAGACAAACGCTAATTAAATCTAAATATAGAAAGTTAATTATGTAAGACAAACGCTAATTAACTCTAAAGATACACAGTTAATTATATAAGACTAACACTAATTAAATCTAAACATGCATAGTTAATAATATAAGACAAACGCTAATTAAATCTAAATATAGGAAGTTAATTATGTAAGACAAACGCTAATTAAATCTTAACATATGTTAATTATATAAGACAAACACTAATTAAACCTAAACATGCACAGTTAATTATATAAGACAAACGCTAATTAAATTTAAATATAGGAAGTTAATTATGTAAGACAAACGCTAATTGAATCTTAACATATGCAGTTAATTATATAAGACAAACACTAATTAAACCTAAACATGCACAGTTAATTATATTTGACAAACGCTAATTAAATTTAAATATAGGAAGTTAATTATGTAAGACAAACGCTAATTAAATCTTAACATATGCAGTTAATTATATAAGACAAACACTAATTAAATCTAAACATAGGAAGTTAATCAGTGGAACACGATCACTAATTTATGATGCTTTATATGTATTTCTAAAGCTATAAACAGATATCAAAGTATTGTGATCAGACATGAGGATCGAACTGGTGATTATTAAGAAAGCTGTAGCCCATTCGATCACTCGACCGAGTCTCTCCCCACCACAACAAACGTGAGCATGTGATCAGTGAGGCACTAGGACCGACTCCGAGCTTGACCAAAACATCAAGACAATGTTTCAGACAGGAGACATTTTGGTGTAGTCTAGCTCAGGGTAAGACATGAAACAATAGAAGACAGTAACAACGTCATCATTCATTCAGTGATCTAAAGGTCACCATTCATTCAGTGATCTAAAGGTCACCATTCATACAGTGACCTAAATGTCACCATTTATCCAGTGGACATTAGGTCACAATTTATCCAGGGGCAATTGAGACATAATTTATCAAGGACAATCACAACACCATTTACCCAATGATAATCACAACACCATTTACCCAATGATCATCACGACACCGTCTATCCAACACAACAAGGACACTTCATCCAGTGACCACCCAGACACCATTAAGCACCAACCTCCCGATCATCCAGCGACCACCCAGACACCATTAAGCACCAACCTCCCGATCATCCAGCGACCACCCAGACACCATCGAGCACCAACCTCCCGACACTTCATCCAGCGACCACCCAGACACCATTGAGCACCAACCTCCCGACACTTCATCCAGCTACCACTAAGACACCATTGAGCACCAACCTCCCGACACTTCATCCAGCGACCACTAAGACACCTTTGAGCAACAACCTCCCGACACTTCATCCAGCGACCACCCAGACACCATTAAGCACCAACCTCCCGATCATCCAGCGACCACCCAGACACCATTGAGCACCAACCTCCCGACACTTCATCCAGCGACCACTAAGACACCTTTGAGCAACAACCTCCCGACACTTCATCCAGCGACCACCCAGACACCATTAAGCACCAACCTCCCGATCATCCAGCGACCACCCAGACACCATTGAGCACCAACCTCCCGATCATCCAGCGACCACTAAGACACCATTGAGCACCAACCTCCCGACACGTCATCCAGCGACCACTAAGACACCATTGAGCACCAACCTCCCGATCATCCAGCGACCACCCAGACACCATTGAGCACCAACCTCCCGATCATCCAGCGACCACTAAGACACCATTGAGCACCAACCTCCCGACACTTCATCCAGCGACCACTAAGACACCATTGAGCACCAACCTCCCGATCATCCAGCCACCACTAAGACACCATTGAGCACCAACCTCCCGATCATCCAGCCACCACTAAGACACCATTGAGCACCAACCTCCCGATCATCCAGCCACCACTAAGACACCATTGAGCACCAACCTCCCGACACTTCATCCAGCGACCACTAAGACACCATTGAGCACCAACCTCCCGACTATTCATCCAGCGACCACTAAGACACCATTGAGCACCAACCTCCCGACTATTCATCCAGCGACCACTAAGACACCATTGAGCACCAACCTCCCGACTATTCATCCAGCGACCACTAAGACACCATTGAGCACCAACCTCCCGACACGTCATCCAGCGACCACTAAGACACCATTGAGCACCAACCTCCCGAGTGTCCACTATCTGCCTGTAGGTGCTAATCTCAGCCTCCATCCTACAGTTAGCCAGCTCTACTTCCTCCAACTCCTGCCTGATCTCGCTGAGCTCCTGAGTCAGCAGCGCCACCTCGCGTTGGGTCGAGCACCTCTCCCTCTCGAACGATTCCTTGAGCTCCTTCATGTGATCCCTTGTGTCCTGGAGCTGAACCTGGGGGGGGGGGGGGGGGGGTGGGGGTAAGGTGGAAACGTTGGTGGATGTTTGCTATGTTGGATGTAAGCATTGGTGGGTGGTAGCTATGGTGGATGTAAAATTTGGTGGATGTAAAATTTGGTGGATGTTAGCTATAGTGAATGTAAGCTACAGTGGATGTAAACTTTAGTGGATGTAAGCTATAGCGGATGTAAACTTTGGTGGATGTTAGCTATAGTGAATGTAAGCTACAGTGGATGTAAACTTTAGTGGATGTAAGCTATAGCGGATGTAAAATTTGGTGGATGTTAACTATGGTGGATGTAAAATTTGGTGGGTGTTAGCTATAGTGAATGGAAGCTACGGTGGATGTAAACTTTGGTGGATGTAAGCTATAGTGGATGTAAACTTTGGTGATTCTAAAGTTTGGTTAATGTCAAAAAGCCATCAGTGAAATGAGAAAAAGCACTCAACCGATTTGTTTGTATTGGAAGGATAAACACAAGGGATGTAAATAAGAGACGGGTAGATTCAGTGGACAGCAAAGGGACATAACACTACAGAAGGGAAATAACTCTTGTGTAACACATCATAAAGGGACAAAACTCATACAACATCAGAAGGGACTTAACTAACGTATAACACACCATAAGGGACAAAACTCACGTGTAACAAAAGGGACAAAAGTGGTATATAACACATCATAAGGGACAAAACTGTTGTTTAACAATGTATTAAGGGACAAAACTCGTGTATAACATATCATAAGGGACAAAACTACATAACATCTGCGAGACTACGTCGGGACAAAAACTCCTCCACGACAGATCACAAAGGAAAACGCAGAAGGGGGGACAACTCCTCCACAACACATCACAAAGGAAAACGCAGGGAGACAACTCCTACACGAGCGACTCACATCCAGGGAGGAATTCTCCGCCTTGTAGTGGGTCACGCTGTCACGTAGCGTGCTGTTCTCATCCTTGACGTGTTTGATGTCACGTCGCAGCGTGGCCAGGTCGTTTTGGGCCGTCTCACACCTGGTTCTCCAGTCGTTCAGTTTGTTCTGGGGGTCAGTAGGTCAGGGTTAGGGTCAGGGTTAGGGTCAGGGTTAGGGTTAGGGTTAAGGTCAGGGTTAGGGTTGGTCAGAGTAGGCGGTTACAGTAAAGGGTTTAGTTAGGGGATATGATATGATGTGTTCAGCTCAGTGACTCACCTGATATGATGTGTTCAGCTCAGTGACTCACCTGATATGATGTGTTCAGCTCAGTGACTCACCTGATATGATGTGTTCAGCTCAGTGACTCACCTGATATGATGTGTTCAGCTCAGTGACTCACCTGATATGATGTGTTCAGCTCAGTGACTCACCTGATATGATGTGTTCAGCTCAGTGACTCACCTGATATGATGTGTTCAGCTCAGAGACTCACCTGATATGATGTGTTCAGCTCAGTGACTCACCTGATATGATGTGTTCAGCTCAGTGACTCACCTGATATGATGTGTTCAGCTCAGTGACTCAGTGACTCACCTGATATGATGTGTTCAGCTCAGTGACTCACCTGATACGATGTGTTCCGCTCAGTCCTCAGTGACTCAGTGACTCCAGTGACTCACCTGATATGATGTGTTCAGCTCAGTGACTCACCTGATATGATGTGCTCAGCTCAGTGACTCACCTGATATGATGTGTTCAGCTCAGTGACTCACCTGATATGATGTGCTCAGCTCAGTGACTCACCTGATATGATGTGTTCAGCTCAGTGACTCACCTGATATGATGTGCTCAGCTCAGTGACTCACCTGATATGATGTGTTCAGCTCAGTCCTCAGTGACTCCAGTGACTCCAGTGACTCACCTGATACGATGTGTTCAGCTCAGTCCTCAGTGACTCAGTGACTCCAGTGACTCACCTGATATGATGTGTTCAGCTCAGTGACTCACCTGATATGATGTGTTCAGCTCAGTGACTCACCTGATATGATGTGTTCAGCTCAGTGACTCACCTGATATAATGTGCTCAGCTCAGTGACTCACCTGATATGATGTGCTCAGCTCAGTGACTCACCTGATATAATGTGCTCAGCTCAGTGACTCACCTGATATGATGTGCTCAGCTCAGTGACTCAGTGACTCACCTGATATGATGTGTTCAGCTCAGTGACTCCAGTGACTCCAGTGACTCACCTGGTATGATGTGTTCAGCTCAGTCCTCAGTGACTCCATTTGTCTGGCGTGTTGCTCCTGCACGGTGACCACCGCCTCGTTGACCAGTGAGTCATAGCCCTCCCCCACCTCCTCCAGCCTCTTGTCTGGCGTCTGCACGTGCTGGTTAAACCTAGACAGCAAGCATATAACATTTGGTTAAACCTAGACAGCAAGCATATAACATTTGGTTAAACCTAGACAGCAAGCAATAAACATTTGGTTAAACCTAGACAGCAAGCATATAACATTTGGTTAAACCTAGACAGCAAGCATATAACATTTGGTTAAACCTAGACAGCAAGCATATAACATTTGGTTAAACCTAGACAGCAAGCATATAACATTTGGTTAAACCTAGACATCAAGCATATAACATTTGGTTAAACCTAGACATCAAGCATATAACATTTGGTTAATCCTAGCATTTGGTTAAACCTAGACATCAAGCATATAACATTTGGTTAAACCTAGACAGCAAGCATATAACATTTGGTTAAACCTAGAAATCGGGTACATAATACTCAGCTAACAAGAAGAACCTAGGGTATACAGTCTTGGCAAGAGAAATAACTCAAATATTTCATGTTCTCACCTGATAACCTCCCTTGTTAACTTTTTCTATTATCAGATAAGAAGAACTATACAATATCTATGATTTCCACAATCAAAAGTTTTCAAGCAGGGCATATTCACAGATCCACCTATGGCCTATCTTGAGGAAACTCAACTATAAACCTTTAAACAATTAACCAACGTTCTATACATAATCTTAAGCCCAACCCTGAACTCTAACCTAAAAGTTTTCAAGAATTCACACCAATACTTCTCTTGATACAAAATATTGAGCACAGCTGAAAGGCCCACCATGGGTATTATAGATATCAGAAATGTGATATACATATTTAAGGCTACACTTACGGAGCTACAGTTAATAGAAGGGCTTCACTTACGTGTCAAGGGCAGAGTTTCTTCCAGGCATCTCTTCGGGGGGGGGGGGGGGCTTTGCCCCCCCCCGAAAAATTTTTACCGCCCCCCCCCCCGAACGAAATGAAATTTATAGAATTTATATAGAAAATATATACTTTTAACAGTGTCCGCCCCCCCGAAGAAAGTTTACCGCCCCCCCCCCCCCCGAAGATTTCAAGTGCCCCCCCCCCCCCGGAGAAAAATGTCTGGAAGAAACACTGGTCAAGGGCTAATCTATAAGGGCTACACCTGTGATGTCACAACTAATCTAAGAGGACTACAAGTCTGATGGTACAGCTAATCTCAAAGGGCTACACGATTGATGGTACAGCTAATATAAAAGGGCTACTCCTGTGACGGTGCAGCTGATATAAAAGGGCTACACCTTTGATGGTACGGCTAATATAAAAGAGCTACACCTGTGATGGTACAGCTAATATAAAAGGGCTACACCTGTGATGGTACAGCTAATATAAAAGGGCTACACTTGTGATGGTATGGCTAATATAAAAGGGCTACACCTTTGATGGTACGGCTAATCTATAAGGGCTACACCTGTGATGGTACAGCTAATATAAAAGGGCTACACCTGTGATGGTACGGCTAATATAAAAGGGCTACACCCTTGATGGTACGGCTAATACAAAAGGGCTACACCTGTGATGGTACGGCTAATCTATAAGGGCTACACCTGTGATGGAACAGCTAATCTATAAGGGCTACACCTGTGATGGTACGGCTAATCGCTGCCCCCACCTGGCCTGCTCCAGCTCCTTGAGGTACATGTCCTTGTTGACCTTGACCTGCTCCTCCAGCCGGTGGCTCGTACGTTTCTGCTTCAGCAGCTCCAAGGTCAACCTCTTGGCGTCCCCCCAGCTCTCGTGTAGGTCTTTTGTCTTTTCCTCAAGCTCGTCCTGGGGATACACGAGACAGTGGGCTGAATACACGAGACACAAGACATTTGGACATGAGACACAAGACACTTGGACACACAAGACACAATACAGTGGGCTGAATACACGAGACACAAGACACTTGGACACACGAGACACAAGACACTTGGACACACGAGACACAAGACACTTGGACACACAAGACACAAGACAGTGGGCTAAATACACGAGACACAAGACACTTGGACACACAAGACACAAGACAGTGGGCTGAATACACGAGACACAAGACACATGGACACACAAGACACAAGACACCTGGACACACGACACGAGACAGTTGGCTTAATACACGAGACACAAGACACATGGACACACAAGACACAAGACACCTGGACACACGACACGAGACAGTGGGCTGAATACACGAGACACAAGACACTTGGACATGAGACACAAGACACTTAGAAATGAGACACCAGACACTTGGACATGAGACACAAGACACTTGGACACACGAGACACTTGGACACACGAGACACTTGGACTATAAGCAAGAACTATAAGCAAGAACTATAAGCAAGAACTATAAGCAAGAACTATAGGCAAGAACTATGAGCAAGAACTATAAGCAAGAACTATAAGCAAGAACTAAAGGCAAGAACTATAGACAAGAACTACAGGACCGACTTTGTTGAAAAACAAATATAAAAGATTGTTGATTTCTCTTTATCTTTTCTCTAGATGGACCACTAACTAACCGTAGTGCCACCACTATCTGACCTGTAGAGAGACGACTATCTTACGTGGAGTAACCACTGACCAGTAGAATGACCACTAACTGACCAGTAGAGTGACCACTAACTGACCAGTAGAGTGACCACTAACTGACCTGTAGGTCTCTGTGCGCGTCTTTGAGTAGTATCAACTCCTCCTTACATTGCGCGAAAGATTTCAGCTCCAAGTTCTTGGCCTTGACCTCGCCGACCAGTCTTTGGATTTCTTCATTTTGATTCAGGACCCTGCTCTTGTAGTGATTTTTTTCCTGGAACCAAAAGACCCGTTGGTCACATTGTCGCACTATCACTTCAACAAACGTTCACGTGAGATCAAATGTGACACTGCACAGTCAAATCAGCAAATTATAGCTTGCCCATAAAAAGACACCATCTTACATTCTAAACACATAAACACATCTAAACACCTGTACCACCTGATCTTTATACACCTGTACCACCTTACGTCTATACACCTGTACCACGTCTATACACCTGTACCACCTCACCTCTATACACCTGTACCACGTCTATACACCTGTACCACCTCACCTCTATACACCTGTACCACCTCACCTCTATACACCTGTACCACCTCAC